GACGCGATGCCCCGACAAAGAAGCCTTTCTTCATCGACACAGGTAAGCCTCGTGAAACCAGGTTTACCTGTGTCGATGAAGAAAGGCTTCTTTGTCGGGGCATCGCGTCCAGACTCCCCTGATCTGCCGACAAACAGCTGATCGGCAGATCGGGGCAGCCATTTAAATTTAAATGAAGCCGCGATTATTTTAATCGCGGCTTCATTTCCCTCTTCTGATCTGGCTAATCTACATGCCTCCGTCGAAGGAGGCATGTAGTCTAGACACACCCTAAGAGGCTACGTCTAGACTGGCATGATTTTCCGCAAATGCTTTTAATGGAAAAGTTTTCCGTTAAAAGCATTTGCTGAAAAGAGCGTCTAGATTGGCACAGACACTTTTCCGCAAAAGCACTTTTTGCGGAAAGGCGTCTGTGCCAATCTAGATGCTCTTTTCCGCAGAAAAGCCCCGATCACCATTTTCGCAATCGGGGCTTTTTTGCGCAGAACAAATCTGAGCTGTCTACACTGGCCCTTTTGCGCAAAGGCTTTGCGCAAAAGGATTTTGCCTGAACGGGAACAGCATAGTATTTCCGCAAGAAGCACTGATTTCAGACAGTAGGAAGTCAGTGTTCTTGTGGAAATTCAAGCAGCCAGTGTAGACAGCTGGCAAGTTTTTCTGCAAAAGCAGCTGTTTTTGCAGAAAAACTTGCCAGTCTAGACACAGCCAGATTGTTACAGATAATTTTCACTCCAGTCCTTATCTCAGATGCAATTCTCTGCAAACCAGAATTGATCTTTACTCTCTGGCCCATGTCTACAGCTCTCTGTTTTTAGAGTTCTTTGTTTTCAGGTTTCTTCATGTGTAGCTTCTTAGGGTGGGGAGGCAAAGTATCACTAATGACCCCCCTCAGCTCATTTAGAATTAAAAATCAGATTCAGATTTCATATTGCTGAAGTTCACATACAAGAATTATATCTGCACAAAAAGGCTGTGTCTACATTGGCACCCCTTTCCGGAAAAGGGATGCTAATGAGACCAGTCGGAATTGCAAATGCCGCAGGGGATTTAAATATCCCCCGTGGCATTTGCACGAACATGGCTGGGGCTTTTTTCCGGCTCAGGGTTTTGCCGGAGAAAAGCGCCAGTCTAGACGGGATCTTGCGGAAAATAAGCCCTTTTCCAGAAGATCCCTTATTCCTACCCGGAAAGGGGTGCCAATGTAGACACAGCCAAAGAGTATACAGAGATTTAGCCAATTACAACTTTTAAAGTGATCTGTTACATGCACAAAGTGTCTTTGAATTATACATATTCATATTCAAATACCGTTGACTATAATGACAAACTAACGATGTAGTATCATTTTGCTGCAGAGGACTGTGATTGGGAAATGTGGACAACATAGTGGCTGGCTTTCCAGAGTTGGGCTTTCCTAACTGTGGTGGAGCCATAGATGGCACATACATTCCAATTTTTGCACCAGGCCACCTTGCCAGAGAGTACTTCAACAGGAAGGGGGTATTTCTCCATGGTGCTTGTTGTTCTTTGTGGACTTTTCAAAGACTTAAATGTGGGGGTGGTCTAGAAAGGTGCATGACACATGCATCTTCAGAAACACTGGCCTGTACAGAAAGCTGCAGGCAGGGACTTTCTTTCCAGACCACAAAATTACAGTGGAGGATGTGGAAATGCCCATTGTGGTCCTGTGACTCAGCTTACTCCTTGCAGTCCTGGCTCTGGGGCACCTGGACAGCAATAAGGAGCAATTCAACAATATGCTGTGTGAAAATAAGACTGAAGTGTTTGCTCATGGGTGGAGCACTGAGGCATAGTGTTTGGGTGCACAGTTTGAGAAGTCAGACACGAGGGCCGTCAAAGGAGCCTATAACATGGCCGTTAACATCAGAGAGGTTTTGAGGATGAGGGGCATGAAAATTTCTCCTTTTTGTGGTTGCTTCTCTGTGGCATCCTTCTATTCATCCTGAGTAACACCTTCCCATGAAAGCAAGGGATGGGACATTCTTCAGCTGGAGCCTGAACAATTGGTATGGGTTGTGGAATAGAAAATAAAGTCATTATACCGTGCAACAGGTTTGCCTTTATTGATCACTGCAAATCACGGTCACATACCTAGGATGAACGTTTGCTTGTAAGGGAGGGTTAGGGTTCAGAGGAAAGCCTCACAATTGCGTGTAGGTTCAGCTATCATAGTTACAGTTGTCACAGGATGTGGAATGTGGTGGAAAATAAGCATCTTCAGACAGTGAAAAGGAGAGTGTAGGTGAAGAGGTTGGTTGCTGTATCTGTTGCAAGGGAGACCCATGCCAGTTCTGTTCATTCTGCATTTTGATTAAACACTTTCAGCATCTCTGTTTGCTCCTCCATGATGTTGATCATATGGTCAGTGGTTCTTTTCCATTTTTCATCTCCCTGTACCACCTCTTCTCTCTTCTGTGTGTTTACATTGATGATTGTTGCAAGACCTCCCTCACAATCTCTTCTCTATTCTTCCTCTGTCTTCTCCTCAGTAGCTGTAGTCTGTCAACAGGAGAGGTCTTTCAAGTTGTCACAGTCTCCTCTGCAACATAGAAGGTTGCAAAACAGTGATTACAAAATTCCTGTTCAAGGTTGAAACATTTCACTGAAAAGCACCTTTAGCAACATAAGCTTCCACTTTTCCACTCACTGATCAGTAAGCAAAACACACATCTTTGCAGGCATTGTGAACATGGTGAGTTTGGGGGGAAGAGGACAAGGGGAATCAGGGATGTGCATAGAGGCATAAAAAAAAGTACAGTCCTCTCTTGTGCAGCAGGTTTGCATGGAAATAATTCTAATGATCCCACTTGTCCACAAGCTTCCATCAATCTTGCTGATATCTCACTCCTGAGGCTAATCAGGGAAACCTGGGCTCCACTTCAGAGCCGGCCCAAGCTAAGGGCTGTCTGGGCTACCGTCCGGGGTGCCCCATTATAGGCGGCGCTGCATGGGGCTGCCGGGCTGGGCAGGAGCAGCACCACGCATGCTCCATGCGCCCGGGGTGGTGCCACGCATGCGCCGGGTGCCCGGGGACGGGGCCATGTGTGCGCTGTGCGCCCGGGGCAGGGCTGCGCATGTGCTGCGCGCCCGGGAGTGGGGGACGCTGTGCACTCAGGGGCGGGGTCTCACATATATCGCACTCCCGGGGGCAGCACCGCACTCCTCGGGTCCGGGGCACACAAATGGCTCGGGCTGGCCTTGCTCCACTTCTCAATGCTAGTGAGGATCGCCCGCTCCTTATTCAGCCTTGTAATTCTATACCACCTTGGTTCCTGCAGTACTGAAGAATAGTATGGGAGTAGCAGCATACCATGGGAAAGGGGAAATGGTGGCACTGCTATGGAATCTTAATGAGAAAATTAATAAGTACCTCAGGCAAAGTTTCCAGAGCATCTGTCTGTGAGATTCAATTGGTATTGGTGTGCATCAACACCCTGGTTGGACATGATGTCTACCTTTGCAGAAACACAGCTATCCTCCTTCAGTTTTTGTGTCTTGCCCCACCCATTGCTACACTCCCCAAGGCAGAGCCACTTACCATGAGTCTCTTCCTGTTTCCATGTTGTGTTGCTGCTGAGACTTGAACTTGAGAACAGTTCCTGGCTGCCTGCCACATTGGGCGACTCTGCTGTGAGCTCCACATTGTCATCTAGCTCTACCTCTTCATCTACAACTTCATCCTCCATGTTAAGTCCTCTTTTTGCTGACTCAGGGCCTCCGGAAGTATCCATAGGGTTCTTTGTGTCACTACCTAGGACTGTCTTGGGTGCAGCACCAGAACAGTGGTTTGACTCCCTCACCTTATGGTATGACTGCCTCAGAGTCTTTATCTTTATTCTGCATTGCAACTTTCTCACATAAGGCTCAAGAAATGTGGCCATGTGTGTTACCGTTCCTATAGGTCACTTGTAGCTGCAACTGCACTGAATCATCTCCCCACACACTGATGTGATCAAAAAGCTCCACGGTGGTCCAAGCAAGAGTAAGTTTGGAGTGATAGCTAGCCACAATCAGCTGAGAGGATGTCATGAAAGTACTCCATGCCAGGGGGCATGAAATGGAATTTAAAGTTCCTGGGGCTTGCAAGGGGGAGGGATGGATTACTGTTTACCTGGCTGCAGAGCAGTGGAGTTCAAACTGCTGCCCAGAGCAGCTACTGGGGCATTGTGGGAAATATCCTGGAGTTCAATCAAGGTGGGGGAAAAAAGCCTCCTGTGGTACACACTTCATGACTGTCAATGGAAAAGGGACAGAAAAAAGTCCCTCGTTGAGGTGGAAGTTTTTTGTTGCCAAAACTGATCGAATTTTGCTATTTTTGTTGTAAATGCAGTATGAATGATATTGGAGTTTTATTGCCAAAAAGGGGTATTCGGCAACAAAACTTGCCAGCATAGACATGTCTTTTTGAGTTCTAGGACTAGATGCTTCAATAAGTAGTTATATTGAATGAAATCCTCCTCCTCCACAATAAAGCCTTCAAGAAGCAGTCTGGGAAAATAAGTCATTTCTTCTTGCGCAACTTCACAAGCTCAGACAAGCTACGTTTGATTTTACAAGCAATGAGAAGTTCACAGCTATGGAAGACCATGAGCAGAGATTAATACTAAGTATTTTGTTAGTTCCTATTTGGATTTTTAAAAGCAGTTATTGTAATATGTTAGACTTGTGTATTGTGTCCACAGTGGAGGCCAGGAATGGCAACAGCAACAGCTCATTGTCAGAGATTCATTGGCACAGTCAGCTAATTGAGCAGTCTGGCTAGCTGGCTGAAACATTTTGGAAGCTTTGTATTTATTTTTGCAACTGTTATAATGTTTATATAAATGAATGAGGTTGACTAAATAGTGTTATCAATACATTACTTATTAAGAACATCATATCCATGAATTCCTACCATGACATGTGAGACAGTACACTAGTACCTGAAAAGAATAATCCAAACAGCCTAAAATACACAAGGGTAGTTAGAGAGACAAGGCGGATGAATCTTTTATTGGGCCAACTTCTGTTGGTGAGAGAGATCAACATGGCTACAATACTGTATTTAACGGTAGTTAGATGGACACACTTGAAATAAGTCAGAAAGCTCTGTTGATCTTGTTAGTGTTTCTTTTAGCATTCATTGCCAGCATTTTTAAGCATGGGTACCGGTAGAGCACTGTTTTACCTGTTTGGATTTTGGTGCACCAAGAGCATCTTTGCTTTTCAGTATTAATTTCTGACGAATCCATGCCTGCATTTGGGCAGCACTGGTGTGGGCACCACACTGTATTGTGGAGGCTATTATACCCTTGATTTTTTCTGATGATGGATCAATGTCATCATTTGCAAAATATGGCCCCTTGGTTGACTTCAGATCTGATCATATACAAAATTAAGACACAGAATTATAGCTTATCAACAGTGGATCGACAGCATCTACCATTTTAAGATTCTGTTAAGCACTAGTTGTTATTACAGCTAATATTTTCTTTTAATATCATTAAAAATGTAATTCAAGTCAAAGACATGCTGTCTTCATATTAATATGGCATTTTAAGAATTACCAGCATTTTAAGCATTCTAGAGGAGAGCACAGTTCTACCTCTACAATTCAAATATGCTTCTGTGATTTAACAGTAATTTTATAGTTTTGAATTAAAAGCATCTCTTTGCTGGTATATCTTAAAAAAGCATATTAAAAACATATGCTAAAATGTTTTCTGATCCTGAAAATGATAAAGAAAGTTTTCTATTAAGTTACTATGTAAAACACATACATTATTTATTCATATATTTTTTTTCAAATATAGAGATAAAATAAAAAATAAAACAATCTTAACTGAGGAAGATGACAAAAAACAGCTAATTGTCCTCTTATGAGAATTACTTATGACATTGTCTTTTCAGTTGTATATGAAGAATAAAAACCTGTGAATAGTAACCCTAGCTTCAGTTGACAGGCATGCAAATTTCTGTAATTAGAACCTGACAACCTCAAAGAAATTGCAAAAGAGGTAGCAGATTCAGTACAAGAGACATTCCAAGAACCTCAAGAAAATGTGCTGCAACATTACTTTTAAAACTGAGGGACAAGAGTGACTGCCAAATGCTGCACTTGGTGATGCACACCTTTAAGGTGGTGGCATTATACAGCCTCAGAATTCTGCAGTCATACCATCTCTTACCTTCCATTTCAGATAAGGTTATTGGGAAAGTTGCAGTGGAGCATCTCCTATGTCATCTGGAGTTTTCAGATTTATTTGGTTTGTAATAATTCTTGTATCCAGAGAACAGTATAGAAAATGAACCAAACTTATTGGCTGATAATTTCCTTCTAGCATTGGTCAACAGAAATACAGATTCTTTTAAATCTTTCAGTAGCATTTAATACAGTTGGCCATACAGTTTTTGTCTATGAATCATGTTGGGATGAATGAAATTGCACCTTATATGGTTCCATTTTTATGTTTTTTTGTTCCTTTGCAGTGGTCCAAGAGCATGTTGTTTGGAAATTATTCCTTTAACTGTAGGGCTTTCTAATTCATGGTTGCCCAGGATTATTTTCTGTCATCTCTTCTTTTGACATATATGTGAAGTCATAGGGTCAGAGAGCGAAGCAATTTACACCGTGTTGCAATCAGTATGAAGATAACATGCAGTTTGAAATCTCATGCAAATTGCAATCAGTGCATCACATGATCTTAGAATCAGAGAATACGACTGGAAGGGACCTCGAGAAATCATCAAGTCCAGTCTTCTGCCCTCATGGCGGGATCTAATACTGTCTAGACCATCCCTGATAGACATTTATCTAACCTGCTCTTAATATCTCCAGAGATGGAGATACCACAACCTCCCTAAGCAACTTATTCCAGTGTTTAACCACCCTGGCAGTTAGGAAGTTTTTCCTAATGTTCAACCTAAACCTCCCTTGCTGCAGTTTGTGCCCATTGCTTCTTGTTTGATCCTCAGAGGCCATGGAGAACAATTTTCCTCCCTCCTCCTTGTAACACCCTTTTAGATACCTGAAAACCACTATCATGTCCCCTCTCAATCTTCTCTTTGTCAAACTAAACAAGCCCAATTCTTTCAGTCTTCCTTCATGTTCTCTAGGCCTTTAATCATTCTTGTTGCTCTTCTCTGGACCTTCTCCAATTTCTCCACATCTTTCTTGAAACGTGGAGCCCAGAAATGGACACAATACTCCAACTGAGGCCTAATCAGTGCAGAGTAGAGTTGAAAAAATGACTTCTCATGTCTTACTCACAACATACCTGTTAATGCATCCTAGCATCATATTTGCTTTTTTTGCAACAGTGTCAAACTGTTGTATCATATTTAGCTTGTGATCCACTATAACCTCTAGATCCCCTTTCTGCCGTACTCCTTCCTAGACAGTCACTTCCCATTCTGTATGTGTGAAACTGATTGTTCCTTCCTAAGTGGAGTACTTTGAATTTGTCCTTATTAAACTTCATCCTGTTTACCTCAGACCATTTCTCCAATGAAGAGATGACTATTTCAGACCTTGATGACCATTTGGAAGTTACAGCTGGTGCAGCAATGTTTAGCAGTGTAATGAACAAGAAAAATACCATGCTAACTATCCAAACACTGCACTAATTTTGTGTTCGCTTCTAGGTGCAATTTAAGATGTACAGTTCTCTATAAGATTTATTGCTTATCTATCTCCATCTCCTGTGTCTTTCATGACACCAGAGATAACTTTGGATGCTCTCACTGGCATTCCACATATATACTTGAATATCTAAGGGTATGTCTACCTTTAGTGTTATTTCGAAATATCTTATTTCAAAATAGTTAATTTGAAATAAGTTATTTTGAAATAACACATCTACACACAAAATGCATTTCGAAATAGCTTTTTGCTATTTCGAAATACCATGTCCACACTGAGTGGACACTGATTCGGAGTTAAGGCTAGCCGGAACCAGGTCAGGGTTAGGGCATCAGGTAAGGAGTGTCTTTGTGTGGCTGTTGCCTGAGGCTATCTGAGGCCTGTGCTTAAAGGGACAACCCCCCTCCTCAAGCAGCCAGTTCTCAGGTGTCCCTGTTTGCTTGCCTGCCTTCCACTTACCGTTCCCTAACCCCCCTTTCTGATGTCAAATAAAATACACGTATTTTCAAAAATATAAACTCTCTTTATTTAACAAAACTGGGGTGGGTGGGATGAAACTCTGGGAAGACTGGGGAAAGGAGGTGGGAGAGGGGCTGCCCAGCTCATCCTGGGGCCACTGGGTCAGGGCAGTGACTGCTGGCAGGCATGGATCTGGCACGTGCAGTGTGGCCAGAGTCTACCCCTTTAAGGGCTCCAGGGCTGGGAGAGAGGAGAGGAGAGGCGTTTTCCTGATTTGGCCCAGAGTGGCCACCAGGGGAAACTGGGAAGGGCTGGAGGCGCCCTATTTCGAAATAAGTGTCTACACAGTGCTTATTTCGAATTAGCTATTTCGAATTTGGCGTTATTCCTCGTAGAATGAGGTTTAACTAATTTGAATTAAGCACCTCGCTATTTCGATTTTATTTTGAAATAGTGGTTTGCCTGTATAGATGTTATTAAAGTTAATTCGAAATAATGGCTGGTTTTTCAAATTAACTTTGATGTGTAGACATACCCTAAGGGACAGAGACAGAAATTTCAGTGCTAGATTTTACTTCCTTTGTTGGTTCTAGAGAAAAGTAAACTCATTGACTTTCAAGTGAGATGGTGTTTGGCTGATCTATTTATCCTGGCTTTTGTCTGAATGAGTGATTGTGGTCTTTATTTTATCCCTGTGGTTAAATCTATTACTGCATACCTACATAAATTTTAAATAAATAAATAAATTTTATGTGCTGTATATTTATTGGAAATTTTGGAAATATCTCCATAGATGCTTTTAGATGCAAAACCTAACTGACTTTGCTGAACTCTACTTGAATTTTTTAAGTAGGCTTTCACACCAATAAAACATAACAACCACACACATAGTTTACAAGCTGTGTCCTTCCAATCAAATTGAAATACAAGAGAGATGAAAAGTTTGGTTTATTTAGATGTCATTCTTAATGAAGCTTATCAGGGTTTGAGTTCTTAAGCTAATTTTGATGCCTGTATTTTCAGTTCTGCTACCAATGTCTATTCTTAATAAAAGTATAGCATTAGGACAGATTTGTTATGAATTAATACAACCTTACAGTCATTTTTAGATGTGAGAACTAGATTATCAAATACTTCAGACTTTTTCTTTGCAGTACAGTTTATACCCACAGTTCAAGATCAGATGTTGGTTAACTGCCTCCAATATTTTGCTCAAAAGTTTAATTATAAATGCAACATTGCTCCTATAAAAGCAGAACTTACCTGAAAATCTGGTCCTAAAACATTTTAAAAATGAATGCCATCTCCTACCTGAGTCTTCAGTGGTCGACCACACTCTCTTCTGAACACCATGAAGCATATCAATTGTTAAGTAACTGGAATTCTTTAACATACTGGCCATGGATACACGAGTAAGAAAAAAATTACAAAAATCAATTGAGTTTTAAGTGCCATCAATAATAATACAATCAGAGTAATTAAATACATCTTTTTTCTTCAGGATGAGAAAAGGAAGTTACTCACCCTGTGAAATAACAATTGTTCTTCGAGATGTGCCCCGTGGGTGCTCCACTCTAGGTGTCAGGTCCTGTCCCGGCGCTGCAGCTCGAAGACTTTTCATAGCCGTGCTCTGCCGGCTTGCGCATGTGTGGTTCACCAGGATAGCGTTCGCACCTTTGATCAGCCGCGCGCGAGCCAGCAACCGTCAGTTCCTCTCACCCATTCATCTGTAAGAAAAAATTAAGAAGAAAATTCCAGAGCGGGGAGGAAGGGCGGCTCGTGGAGCACCCACGGGGCACATCTCGAAGAACAATCGTTACTTCACAGGGTGAGTAACTTCCTTTTCTTCTTCGAGTGGCCCCGTGGGTGCTCCACTCTAGGTGACTCCGGAGCAGTACACAGAATAGAGTTAGAGCGCTCTGGAATCAAGACTACCAGCACGATTCAGTACTGCTGTAGCACAGAAAAATCTCAAGCAAACTGATCGACTATAGCGTAGTGCTTCATAAAAGTCACATTAGACGACCATGTTGCCGCTCTGCAAATGTCACGAAAGGACACTCCACTGAGGAAGGCTGTAGTAGTAGCAACTGCCCTAGTTGAATGAGCTTTTGGAAGAGAAGGGAGAGGCTTCCCCCGTAATGAATGGCACATGGATATACATGAAACTATTAGTTTCGAGATATGCCGAGAAGTTAGAGGTTGCCCTTTTGACTGACGTGCTAATGATAGTAGTAAACGGTCTGTTTTCCTAAAATCCCGTGTTCTGTCAATGTAAAACGCTAAGGATCTTCTCACATCCAACGTATGCAACTGTGCTGCTTGCGTTGAGGTATGGGGTTTTGGAAAGAAATATGGTAAAACTACCGGCTCATTTATGTGGAATTCAGACGAAACCTTTGGAATAAACGCTGGATGGGTCCTCAGTGTCACCGATTCTTTCGAAAAAACTGTATAGGGCGGTTATGCCATAAAAGCTGCTATCTCACTCACTCTGCGAGCCGAAGTGAGGGCTAGGAGGAATACCAGTTTGATAGTAAGTAAGTGTAATGTTACTGTAGCCAAGGGCTCAAAGGGGGGGGCGAGTCAAAGTTTGTAGGATTAGATCCAAATTCCATAAGGGCGGAGGAGGCCTCCGCGGGGGATGGAGATTCGAGAGCCCCTTCAGAAATCTTTTTGTAGTAGGGTGAGCGAACAAGGAAATATCGTCATCCTTGTGATAGAATGCATTAATTGCTGCCAAATGCACTCGTAGAGATGCAACTGCCAGGCCATTGTCGTGTAGCTGCAAGAGGTATTCCAATATACAAGGTAGGGTTGCGAAATGCGAGTCCACATTGTTGTCCGTACACCATGCTTGGAACTTTGACCACTTAGCTGTATAAGTGGTTTGTGTAGATTGTTTTCGACTATGCATCAACACTTGCTTGACTCGTTGAGAACAGGATTGCTCAGAGTTGGTAAACCAGCAAGCATCCATGCAGTGAGGTGTAGAACTTCGGGTCTCAGATGACTGAGAGATCCGTTATCCTGGGTCAACAGATTCGGAAGAGAAGGCAGAGGATACGGCACTCTCACTGACATCTGGTGGAGCATTGAGAACCAAGGGCTGACGAGCCCATGCCAGCGCTAGGAGGATTATCCGGGCTTCGTCTATGTTGATCTTTTCGAGAACCCTGGGAATTAACACTACCGGGGGAAAGGTGTACAGTAACGACGTCCCCCAGTGGAGAAGAAAGGTGTCCCCCAGTGAGTGGCGTCCTATTCCAGCTCTTGAACAATAAGTGGGACATTTCGAATTGAGTTCTGTCGCGAATAAATCTATTGTCGGAAATCTCCATCGAGCGAAGATACGAGTCACCACGTCCGTGCGAACCTCCCACTTGTGGTCGTGTGGAAAACGCCTGCTGAGAGAGTCCTCTATTAAGTTGTCGATACCTGAAGATAGGATGCTGTTAGAACGGTGTTGTTGGCGGTACACCAATTCCATAAATGAATGCTCTCTGCGCAAAGAGAACGGGATCGGGCACCTCCTTGTTTGTTGATATAAAACATAGTTGCCATGTTGTCCGTTAGAATCCTGGTCGTTGTATTCTGAATGTGCAACTGGAAATGCTTACAAGCATGCCGCACCGCTCTCAACACGAGCACATTGATATATAGTAGCATTTCTTGTGTCGACCAATGTCCCTGTGCTCATGTGAGCTCTGCAACCCATGAGGGAGGCATCTGTAGTTATTTGCGTTGTGGGTTGTGGGCGATGAAATGGAACGCCCATGAGCAGGTTGGCCGGGTTGACCCACCACAGTAGGGAGTCCCGGACATGCTGTGGCACCACTAATGGCCTGTGGACACTGTGCTTTGCCGGGATGTAAACCGTGGCTAACCAGTGCTGGAGGCAACGAAAACGTAACCTTGCGTTGCGCACTACAATGGTGGCAGCAGCCATATGCCCCAACAGCTGTAGACAGACAGGTATGGGAATTGTTGGAGCATGTACCACGGTGTGTACCAATTCTTTGATTACCATAAAACGTTCCATTGGTAAATATGCTCGCGCCATAGTTGTGTACATCCCAAGTGTACGTAGAGTGGTGCGTGAGTCTTTTCCTGAATGGAGGACCTCATTAGTGTTTGCCGCAAAGAGTTTACAACCATATGACATGTTTCCATATACGTCATACTCCTGAGGAGACAATCATCTAAATATGGGAATATTGCCACCCCCAGTCTGCGTAGATGGGCCACGACCACTGCTAATGTTTTGGTGAAAACTCTGGGAGCACATGCTAGACCAAATGGTAGAACCCTGTACTGATAATGCTCGCTCCCGAATTGGAAATGTGCAGTGCTACATGATGCGTACCCTTCTTGTACTATTGCTTTCAGGAGTGGTTTCTTGCTGTCTGGGAGATGGTGCAGGAACTCTGCTAGTTTTGAATAATTATCGAAATTAAGGTTCAGGTACCGGTTTAGCTTTCGAAGGTCTAGAATGGGTCTCCAGCCTCCCAACTTCTTTGGTGTGAGAAAATATCGGGAATAAAACCCTTTTCCCCAGAACTGTTTGGGAACTCTCTCTATCGATCCAATGGTGAGCAAACGTTGAACTTCTTGCTTCAACAGTTTCTCATGAGAGGGGTCCCTGAAGAGGGACAGAGTAGGGGGAGTGGTAGGGGGAATAGAGAGAAAGGGAATGGAGAGGCCGGACTGAACTGCTTCTAGCACCCATCTGTCCATAGTGATTGCAGACCACTGGTGATAGAATGAGCATAGACGATGGTGAAAAAGATGAAGCGTTTCCGTGTTGATTATGGGCAGTTGGCTTGCATCCTCGACAATCAAGTCAAATCTGCTGCTTAGTCGATGACTGATTAGCCGAACGGCTCTGTTGTGGCCGCTTGCGCTGAGGGCGCTGCCTAGGAGGCTGGTTGTCCAAGGGACGTGTTTGCTGTCTAGAAACATTGAAATCGTACCTCCGTTGGTAAGGGAAGTAACGTCTCCGTTTGAAGGAAGTTGTGTACATCCCAAGTGTACGTAGAGTGGTGCGTGAGTCTTTTCCTGAATGGAGGACCTCATTAGTGTTTGCCGCAAAGAGTTTACGTTTGTCAAACGGTAGATCCTCAACCTTGCTTTGCAACTCCCTTGGAGCCCCTGCTGATGAAAGCCAAAATGATCTCCTCATGGCGATACCTGTAGCAGCGGCTCCCCCCCCCGTGTCTGGCCCGCGATACCTGTAGCAGCGGCTCGAGCTGCTGTGTCAGCCATATCCATGGCAATCTGCAGTGCAGTGCTACATGATGCGTACCCTTCTTGTACTATTGCTTTCAGGAGTGGTTTCTTGCTGTCTGGGAGATGGTGCAGGAACTCTGCTAGTTTTGAATAATTATCGAAATTAAGGTTCAATAGATGGGCTGAGTAGTTTGCAATTCGTAGTAGCAGTGTGGCTGAGGAGTAGACTTTCCTACCAAAAACATCCAATTTTTTATTGTCCTTGTCCGGAAGGGTATTTCTGTACTGTGGCGCCTTACTCCTACGTTGCACTGCGTCTACTACCAACGAGTTAGGTTGGGGGTGATTGAATAAAAAGTCCAATCCTTTCGCTGGAACAAAATATTTTCTGTCAACCTTTTTACTCGTAGGTGTAACCGATGTTGGGGTTTGCCATATCTCATCCGACACTTCCATTATCGCGTCATCAATTGGTAATGTGACCTTGCACATTGTTGTGGATGGAGGTTTTTCAAGAGGAGGTGCCTTTTAACCGGAACATCCGCCAGCTGTATTTCCTGCGTGCCTGCCACTCGTTTGAAGAGATCCTGAAAGTGTTTCAGATGATCCGGTGGGGAGATGTCAGCTGGGCATATCGCCTCATCCGGGGAAGACGAGGAGCAGTCTGCTGGAGAATTTTCCGGTTTAGGGTCTTCTGCTTCAGACAACTGTCCCTCTTCCGGTTCGGATTGGTCTAGCTGGATCGTTGAACTCTTAGCTGGAGAAGGTGAGTCTAGTGGCTGTGATCAGTGAGGTAAGTATTCCACTGTTGGTGGTTGGCAGATGCAGGAAGATCCCCTACGTGATGATGGTGTATGGTCACGCTGGGGACGATCGTAATATGATCTATGATAGTGCTCATAGTAGCGCTGAGACCGCAACGGGGAGGAGTGTCGAGAGGAGAGTGCACTACCATGTTGGATATAATAGACACGAATTGGAGAGCGTCTAACAGACCCATACGTCAAAAATCGGGAGGGTGAACGGGATCGTGAACGGGACTGATGTGCGTCTAAGTACACTGCGTCCCTATAATTATGCTGGCTGTACATGATCCGTGAGGGAGAAACATAGCCACGATAGCGACCGTACCTTCCTGGTGAAACAGCTTGAGAAAGAGAACTGT